TTTGTATGCATTGTTTGAATTGAGATTGTTTACCTACATTCAGAGATATAATTGTGCAAGAATATTTTCTACGTGAATAATTTACATGACACATAGACGATCGACAAATGACGAAAACAACGTAACACTAGATAAACAGCAAATGTATATATACATAACATATTCCCCAGTCTATGCACATGTGTATATGGGGCATACAAAATATCTTGGAGATGATTTTGGTCTCGAAGAAGCCTTTTCTCTTCTCAATGAATTACTCTGTCGACATCGTTGGATACTATCCAACTAGGGATTTTAATTAGATCGTCAGAGCGCCTTGGAAAACCTAATGATCTAGCACACGCGCCAAGTTTGTATAACAAATATTCGAATTGGAGGAGGCACATCTGAAAATGCATTGCTAACTTGCATATCACACCTGGATGACTACGAAAGTAACGCAACACAGCGTGATGCATGGCTTATCTGATCTGTGAAGACTGGTTATACACTCCTTCCCTATTATCATAATCATGGATGCCGCCTGGCACTTGCTACTAATTATCTCCCTTGTGAGGTAACTAACATGGCATGATCCAACAGGACTGAACCATTGCGCTTGTGCATGAAGTCTGTGAAGCTTCGAGTGATCGGTTTCCTCTTTTCTACAGCAAGTCAGAACCATTATGGTAAGCACTACTTCAACTTCTGCTCACAAGTGAGGAATTTAATTGTAACGCAATACCATTTCCGAATTTTATTTGTTGGTAAATATCAGCATCTTATTTGGAGTAGCAGTCGAGTTAGGGATATATCTGCCGTCTGTCCTTCATCGCTTTCGTACTCTTTTCTCTTCTGACAGGCACTGCCTCTGGAACAGCTTACCTCTTTCACACTTGAAAAAGACATCGAGTCTGGTGATACTATCAAATACGCAGCAGCAGTGCTTGGTACCTCTACAATTCAACCCGAACAGGGCGATGTACGTCCAGAACCTGGTTCCCCTCCTACACCGAAACCAAGACGGAAAAAGAGATTGAGGGCAGAATCTTCAGGAATGTTGCCTGAGCAGAGTGCGCCTCAAATCATATCTGATAGCTGTGCGGCTGAAGAACAAATTAATATCAGAGATAGTACCGAGTTATCCGATAGTGCTGATCGTGTTGATGACATGATGACTGTATGCTCAGAATTAGACACTATTTGTCATAATAAAGAGAAAGGAGATGCTGTTCAAGAGGCAGTGTGCTTGTCAATGAATGCACAGACACCACACGATGATGAGAAAATAGTTGTTGATTCACCAGAATTATCTGTTCAGGAAGGTGTTTCAGCAGAAGTTCGGGACGAATCACAACACGAAGAACAAAAAACAGTTGATGACATTGCAGGCCTCGGTTATCATGCGGACATGCCCTTTGTTGGTGAAGAGATTCGGGATAATGATGTCGTTGTCATTGACGTGATTGAAGAGTTTTTCAGGGGTGAGAATGAAGTTCAATCTGTAGATGTTGGTGAAGAACATATGCTGGCAGATTTACCAACAATGATGACCAAAGTCTGTTTTTCAGAACAAAGTTTGAATGAAACAGGTATACAACAGGGAAGTGAAAAAGACGAAAGTGGTGTGCCCGTTTACATACCATCTGTTCCTGAGGGGGATATAGGCAAAGAAGATACGATTGTTATTGATTTACAGAATGAGTGCGTAAGAGGTGAGGATGGAATTAAACATGATAATGATCATGAGGATCAAACCATGATGGAATTACCTGAAATAAGTGTACACGGACATTCCTCAATAGTGTGGCTCGATGAAACAGTAAAACCCACGGAAGTTCGGGACATCGACAAAAGTCTAGAGCCATATGATACGCATATTCCATCTCTTGTTGAGAACATACATAATGAGGAGGATGTAGTTGTCATTGATATACTTGAGGAGCTTACTAAAGATGAAGATGATATTCCGTCTACCAATGTGGTGGTAACCAGTACTGATCAACAGGAAGCAGGCGATAATCCTGATACACAAAGAGATGATTTACACAGTGCTGAAAGATTGAGCACCCTAGCTGAAATAGTTATTGAACAGCATGAAGAAAGCTGGGATGACTGGAAATTGAATGGAATTCCTCATCCGGATTTAGTGGAAAAGGACATAGAAGACGTTGCATCCACGTATGAAACGACAGTTGAAGTGAAATTGGTGACAACCAAAGATATACTTCAACAGAAATCCGATACCATTGAGCCAGAATTGTCAGAATTGGGAGAAATCCCTCTAATCAAAGCAGTCACTGAATTATCTAGTGTAACAACCGCAATTTCTACACGAATTGACACACCAGAAGAGTTTCTAGAGGCGACCACAGCTGAAATTACAACGGAAAACATGGGGGAGCCTGACCTGGTCATGACCACCACAAGCAATGTATCTGTGTTACGTAGCCCTGCAGACATACTTATTGATAATCAACATATAGACGAATGGGTTGATTGGAAAGATAATGGTGTGCCTCATCCAGACCTGATAGACATTCCTGACGCTAAAGACAACACAGATTTTAATGAATCCACGATTTTTGAAGAAGTTGAAATAGTTGCCGAACTTGAAGTTCCTTTGTCTCCTAATGGGGAGAATGTCATATTTAGTGATGATAGTCAAACTGGATATCATGTAGAAAATGAAAGTACCGATTTGCCACTGGATTCAAATGTTATCTTTGAAGAAGAATTACTAATTCTCGCTGAGGTTAATATCGAGGCAAACAATGACAATTGGAAGGATCTACAACAAATAGCTAAGGATCTTCCGGATATTGTTGAATACCATGTTACAACGAAAATTGTAACAGATGAAGAGCCAACGGGGTTGGCAATATCACAGAGTGAAATGATGCCCGAAAGATCTACTAAGCTGTCAACGCCTGAGGTAGTAGTTCAGTCAGCTGAGGAACCTACTAAAATTGATATAGATGAAGTAGACACAACGAAACCAGAACAGTCAGAGCAGGCTGCTAAGCTTACAGCCACTGAGGAAGAGGTGAGACCAGAAGAGCTGGTTGGGCTGCCAACAGCTGAGGTAGAAATTGATAAACCAGACGAGCCAGCTGAGTTACCAGCTACTGAAGAACAGGAGAGGCCAGAAGAGCTGGTTGAACTGCCAACAGCTGAGGTAGAAATTGAGAAACCAGAGGAGCCAACTGAGTTGTCGGCTACTGAAGAAGAGAGGCCGGAAGAGCTGGTTGAGCTGCCAACAGCTAAGGTAGAATTTGAGAAACCAGAAGAGCAAGCTGAGTTGTCATCTACTGAAGAAGAGGCGAGCCCAGGAGAGCTGGTTGAGCTGCCAACAGCTGAGGTAAAAATTGAGAAACCAGGGGAGCCAGCTGAGTTGCCGGCTACTGAAGAAGAGAGGCCAGAAAGGCTGGTTGAACTGCCAACAGCTGAGGTAGAATTTATGAAACCAGAGGAGCCCGCTGAGTTGCCAGCTACTGAAGAAGAGGAGAGGCCAGTAGAGCTGGCTGAGCTGCCAACAGCTGAGGTAGAAATTGAGAAGCCAGAGGAGCCAGCTCAGTTGCCAGCTACTGAAGAAGAAGAGAGGCCAGAAGAGCTGGTTGAGCTGCCAACAGCTGAGGTAGAAATTGAGAAACCAGAGGAGCCAACTGAGTTGCCAGCTACTGAAGAAGAGGAGAGGCCAGAAGAGCTGGTTCAGCTGCCAACAGCTGAGGTAGAAATTGAGAAACCAGATGAGCCAACTGAGTTGCCAGCTACTGAAGAAGAGGAGAGGCCAGAAGAGCTGGTTGAGCTGCCAACAGCTGAGGTAGAAATTGAGAAACCAGAGGAGCCAACTGAGTTGCCAGCTACTGAAGAAGAGAGGCCAGAAGAGCTGGTTGAGCTGCCAACAGCTGAGGTAGAAATTGAGAAACCAGAGGAGCCAGCTGAGTTGCCAGCCGCTGAGGAAGAGCTGAGATCAGATGAGCCTACTGGGCTGCTAAGAGCTCAGTTGGAATTGAACCTAGAAGTGTCTACAGGCCTGCCAATGGCTTTGAGTGAAGGTCTTGAAGTTTCAGAAATCACGCCAGCTGCAATAGAATTTGAGCTGCCTATAGCTACATGTGCTGATGAGGGTATACCTGATATTTATGATGATTGGGGCTTGGATGATGATCAGGCATATAGAACAGTCGAGATAGTTCTTGTTGCTACAGAATCTCTGAAGACAGTCGTCATTCCTGAGAAACCATTAGAACTTACAGAATTCGCTATGGCCGAGGTACAGTTTGAGACATCAGAACAGCCTATTGAGGTTACAACTGCCGAGGTTGAAATGGAGAAGCCCTCAGAACCTACAGGGTTGTCTGCGGCTGAGGTACAATTTGAGAAAGCAGAACAGCTTAGTGAAGTACAAATAGCTGATGTTGAAATTGAGAAACCAGCAGAACCTACAGAGATCTCTGCAGATGAGGTAGTGTTTGAGAAACCAACAGAACTTACTGATACCTCTACGGTTGAGGTAGAGTTTGAGGAGCAAGAGCAGCCTAGTGAGGTAGAAGCTGTTGCGGGTGAGTTTGAGAAAACAGCAGAACCTACAGAGATCTCTACGGTTGAGGTAGTGTTTGAAAAACCGGCAGAACCTACTGTGATCTCTACAGCTGAGGTAGAGTTTGGGAAACCAGCAGAACCTACTGATATCTCTACGGCTGAGGTAGATTTTGAGGAGCAAGAGCAGCCTAGTGAAGTAGAAGCTGTTGAGGATGAGTTTGAGAAACCAGCAGAACTTACAGAGATCTCTACGGCTGAGGTAGAGTTTGAGGAACCCGAGCAGCCTAGTCAAGAAATAACTGCTGAGTCTATAATTGAAAAACCGGAAGAACCTACTGAGATTTCTACAGCAGAGGAAAACCTAGAGAAACCAGAACAGCCTAGTGAAGTGGAAACTGCTGAGGCTCTAATTCAAAAACCGGAAGAACCTACTGAGATATCTACAGCTGAGCTAGAGTTTGAGAACCCAGCAGAACCTACTGAGATCTCTACCGCTGAGCTAGAGTTTGAAGAGCAGGCGCAGCCTAGTCCAGAAGCAACTGCTGAGGCTTCAATTGGAAAATCAGAAGAACCTACTGAGATCTCCACAGCTGAGGTAGAAATCGAGAAAAAAGAGCAGCCTAGTGAAGTAGAATCTGTTGAGGTTGAATTTGAGAAACCACCAGCACCTACTGAATTCTCTACGGTTAAGGTAGAGTTTGAGAAACCACAACAGCCTAGTGAAGTAGCAACTGCTGATATTGAAATTGAGAAACCAGCAGAATCTACCGAGATCTCTACAGTTGAGGTTGTGTTTGAGATACCAGGGCAGCCTAGTGAAGTAGCAATTGCTGTGGTTGGAATTGAGAAACCAGCAGAACCTACTGAAATCTCTACAGCTGAGCTAGAGGTTGAGATACCAGAACAGCCTACTGAAGTAGAAACTGCTGAGGGTCTAATTGAAGAACCGGAGGAATCTACTGAGATCTCCACAGCTGAGGTAGAGTTTGAGAAACCAGAGAAATTAGATGAACAGACAGCGGCTGAAACAGCTGAATTTATTCATGAAGAATTGGAAGAACCTGCTGCCTTGTTAGATGTGCCAGGCGATATGGAAGAAGTGACAACTGAGGAAGAAGTTGACCACGCTGAAAATGGCCATGAGCCAGGGAAAAGAAAGCGGAAGCGAAAACGTAAGCCTCGCGGCAGAAGACAAAAGAAGCATCCTGACGAAGATGATGGCATGGCAGGGGAAGTCTCACTTGTTGTTAGCGATATGGCTTCCCATGAAGTTGATAAAACACGCGACATTACTGATATTGGACCATCAGATGAAGTACAGGAAACTCAAGAGGTGATCATTGCTGAATCAATGCATGAGAAAGCACATGAGCCAACTGAGATATCTATAGCCGAGGTAGAGTTTGAGATACCAGGCCAGCCGAGTGAGGTAAAAGCTGCTGAGATTGAAATTGAGAAACCAGTACAACCTACTGAGATCTCTATGGCTGAGGTAGAGGTTGAGATACCGGAACATCCAAGTGAAGTAGAAACTGCTGAAGTTGAAATTGACAAACTGGCAGAACCTACTGAGATCTCTACAGCTGAGGTAGAATTTGAGAAACCACAACAGCCTAGTGATGTAGAATCTGCTGAGATTGAAATTGAAAAACCGGAAGAACCTACTGATATCTCCACAGCTGAGGTAGCGTGTGAGATACCAGAGAAATTGGATGAACAGACAGCGGCGGAAACAGCTGAATTTATTCCTGAAGAATCGGAAGAGCCTGCTGCCTTGTTAGATGTGCCAGACGATATTGAACAAGTAACAACTGAGGAAGAAGTTGACCACGCTGAAAATGGCCACGAGCCAGGGAAAAGAAAACGTAAGCGAAAACGTAAGCCTCGTGGAAGAAGAAAGAAGCATCTTGACGAAGAAGACAGCATGGCAGGGGAAGTATCAATTGTTGTTAGCGATATGGTTTCCCATGAAGCTGCGATCTCTACAGCTGAAGACGAGGTTAAGAAAAAAGAACAGCCTAGTCAAGTAGCAACTGCCGAGGCTGAAATGGAGAAACCCTCAGAACCTTCTGACATCTCTACAGCTGAAGACGAGTTTGAGAAATCAGAACAGCCTAGTGAAGTACTCGTCGCTGAGGTTGAAGTTGAGAAACCATCAGAACCTTATGATATCTCTACAGCGGAGGTACAAATTGAGAAACCAGAGGAGCCAACTGATTTGCCAGCTACTGAAGAAGAGGAGATGCCAAAAGAACTGGTTGACCTGCCAACAGCTGAGATAGCTGAAAAACGGAAGAAGCCTGGTTGAGCTACCAACAGCTGAGGTAGAAATTGAGAAACCAGTGGAGCCAGCTGAGTTGCCAGCTACCGAAGAAGAGGAGAGGCCAGAAGAGCTGATTAAGCTGCCAACAGCTGAGGTAGAACTTGAGAAACCAGAGGAGCCAGCTGAGTTGCCAGCTACCGACGAAGAGGAGAGGCCAGAAAAGCTGATTGAACTGCGAACAGCTGAGGTAGAAATTGAGAAACCAGAGGAGCCAGCTGAGTTGCCAGCTACCGAAGAAGAGGGGAGGCCAGAAGAGCTGGCTGATCTGCCAACAGCTGAGGTGGAAATTGAGAAACCAATTGAGCCAGCTGAGTTGCCAGCTACTGAAGAAGAGGATAGGCCAGAAGAGCTGGTTGAGCTACCAACAGCTGCGGTAGAAATTGAGAAACCAGTGGAGCCAGCTGAGTTGCCAGCTACAGAAGAAGAGGAGAGGCCAGAAGAGCTGGTTGAGCTACCAACAGCTGAGGTGGAAATTGAGAAACCAGTGGAGCCAGCTGAGTTGCCAGCTACCGGAGAAGAGGAGAGGCCAGAAGAGCTGATTAAGCTGCCAACAGCTGAGGTAGCACTTGAGAAACCAGAGGAGCCAGCTGAGTTGCCAGCCGCTGAGGAAGAGCTGAGATCAGATGAGCCTACTGGGCTGCTAAGAGCTCAGTTGGAATTGAACCTAGAGGAGTCTACAGACGTGCCAATGGCTTTGAGAGAAGGTCTTGACGTTTCAGAAATCACGCCAGCTGCAATAGAATTTGAGCTGCCTATAGCTACATGTGCTGATGAGGGTATACCTGATATTTATGATGATTGGGGCTTGGATGATGATCAGGCATATAGAGCAGTAGAGACAGTTCTTACTGCTACAGAATCTCTGAAGACAGTCGTCATTCCTGAGAAACCACTAGAACCTACAGAGATCTCTACAGCTGAGATACAGTTTGAGAAACCAGAACAGCCTAGTGAAGTAGCAACCGCCGAGGTTGAAATGAAGAAACCCTCAGAACCTTCTGAGATCTCTACAGCTGAGATACAGTTTGAGAAATCAGAGCAGCCTAGTGAAGTACTCATCGCCGAGGTTGAAGTTGAGAAACCATCAGAACCTACTGAGATCTCTACAGCTGAGGTACAGTTTGAGAAACCAGAACAGCCTAGTGAAGTAGAAACCGCCTAGTGAAGTACTCATCGCCGAGGTTGAAGTTGAGAAACCATCAGAACCTACTGAGATCTCTACAGCTGAGGTAGAAATTGATAAACCAGAGGAGCCAGCTGAGTTGCCAGCTACCGAAGAAGAGGAGAGGCCAGGAGAGCTGGTTGAGATGCCAACAGCTGAGGTAGAAATTGATAAACTAGAAGAGCCAGCTGAGTTGCCAGCTACTGAAGAAGAGGAGAGGCCAGAGGAGCTGGTTGAGCTGCCAACAGCTGAGGTAGATATTGAGAAACCAGAGGAGCCAACTGAGTTTCCAGCTACTGAAGAAGAGGAGAGGCCAGAAGAGCTGGCTGAGCTGCCAACAGCTGAGGTAGAAATTGAGAAACCAGTTGAGCCAGCTGAGTTGCCGGCTACTGAAGAAGAGAGGCCGGAAGAGCTGGTTGAGCTGCCAACAGCTGAGGTAGAACTTGAGAAACCAGAGGAGCCAGCTGAGTTGCCGGCTACTGAAGAAGAGAGGTCAGAAAAGCCGGTTGAGCTGCCAACAGCTGAGGTAGAAATTGAGAAACCAGAAGAGCTTGCATCAGTGCCAACAGGTGAGATAGAAGTAAAGAAATCAGAAGAGCTTGCCGAAGTGCCAACAGCTGAGATAGAAGCAAAGAAATCACAAGAGCCTGCCGCAGTGCCAACAGCTGAGATAGAAATAAGGAAACCAGACGAGCCTTTTGAAGTTCCAATGGCTGCAGCAGAAGTGCAGGAACTAGATCAATCTACTGAGCAACATGAAGGAGATGTGGAGAAACCATCGGAGCCTGCACAATTGGTAATGGCTGACATAGAAGTAAGACGAGAAGAGCAGGTAGAGGTCTTAACTGCTGATATAGAAGTTGCGAAACCAGAGATGTCAGTTGAGTTGGCAGATATTGTGGAAGAGGTGAGACCCGACAGTGCTACTGAGTTACCAACCTCTGAGGAAGAAGAGAGACCAGATCAGGTTACTGAGCAACTAACAGCAGATAGAGACAGAAAACCAGAAGAGCCTACTGACTTGGCAACAACTCTCCTGACCGTAATATCAGAGCAGACGATATCTGTAGAAGAGGTTGGAACAGCACAGCCTCCATTTATCACCACTGCCGAAGCACAAGTCAAAGCAAACGGTGCTATGCCTTCAGTAGTGTCTCATCTAGAAGAGGTATCTCAGGACTTGATGAAACCAGAGCATTCACAGGAGGTTACGACACTTGATGTAGAAGTTGAGGAATCACAAGTTGGAGAGCAGCATGTACAAGCATCTGATGTTAACTTGGCTAGAAAGGTACAACCTGTGGAGGAATGCTTATCTCTTGCAGGTGCTACAGAAGAACCGATTACCGAACAAGTAGGCTATTCAAAGTTGGAACGCGTTCTTGAAGAATTGGCTTTGTTGGAGGAAGCTGTTAGGAAGGGCGAGGAAGCTGCTGAAGTTATCCTGGAAGAGCTTTCTGTAGAGGATCACTCCATATGTTTGGATCGCACTGTTTCATCAGCCATTGATGAACTCCAAGCTGATGATAGCATTGTCGATGATTTGACTGATATAGACGATGCAATGGTAATAGAAAGTGATGATGTGCTAGAAAATCTTGCACTTGACATCGATAGAGATGTATCACGTGAAATGGACATTCAAACTCATGTCTCAGCTGATGAGCATGATTCTCAACTTGAACGGGTAGCAGAGAGTAAAGAATTGGTTCTTGAACCTTCTCTCATCACCGTCGTAGAGACAGATGGCAAATTATTAAAAGTGGCTGCAGATGAGAAAGTCTTGGATGATAGTACCGTTTTGGCTGATGCTTTGCAAAATAAGAGTGAAGATTCCCTAATATTGTCTGAAATGGAGTTTGCAAATGATAGTAGGGATATGGCAACTCGCAGCATTTCTCCAGTGGTTTTGACTATACCCGTACAGAATGAGGGGATGGGTGAAGAAACTACGTATAAGGTTAAAAAGAAAAAGAAAAGGAAGGAAACGAAAAGAAGTATGCCGATGTCATCAGATGTCCAAGCTGTTACATCGATATATCTGTCTGTTTCCTTAGATGTTTCATTAGAATCAGGTGATACTTCCAAAGAGATACTATATGAGGTACCTCAGCTGGAAGTACCAGAAATGCCGACATCAACCACTACAGAGCGCACTATCGACGTGGCAACGCCTGTCCAAGAGCAAGAGGAAATAATCACATTTTTAAATATACCAGCAAACTTTGAAGATGTAACCAGAGATGTTGTTTTCGCAGTGCCTCATCCAGCAGAGAAGAAGAAAAAGAAAAAGAAACAGAAACCTGTTGCCAAGTCTCTGGAAACTACCGATTTGGCTACTGCTTTGAGTGCGGTTTGCCTAGATGCACTGTTAGAGACTGCTAGTACCCGTAAAGAAATAGTGTTTGAGGCATCTCAACATGTTATAAAAGAAGAAGATACACCAGTGGCCGAATCGACTACTCAGGATATAACACCGTCTGATCAAGTGATGGAGGTTACTATCGCAACATTACATATAATGGCAGACCGTGAGGATCTACCTAAACATGCAGTTTTTGAAGCATCACTTGCAACAAAGAAGAAGACGAAGAAGAAGAAGAGAGTAAAGGAACCTGCTCTAGTTACACACTCCGAAGGATCTGTTGATTCGGGCACTCCTCCCTCAGTTTGTTTGGATGTTCCTTTTGATCAAGGTGATATTCATAAGGAAACATTTGAGGTATCCCAATTAATTCCAAAAGAAGAAGCCAAATCAATGCCTGAGGAGCCGGCTATGGAGGCTGTTATACTGTCTAGTGAAGTGGGGGAAGGTGCTGTGGAAACTTTAAATATAATGGCAGACAATGAGGATTTACCAAAACATTTACTTTTCAAAGTATCAGCTCCAATGGAGAAGAAGGGAAAGAAAGAAAAACGATCTGCTGATGTTACACAGCCATTCGAATCTACCGAATCAGCCACTGATCATCCTATATGCCTGGATGTTGCTTTAGAGTCCGATGATACTAGTAACGAAACGATATTTGAGATCTCTTGTCAGGATTCGTCGGTAGAAATTGCACCTACTTCCAGACAAGAAACGGATCAATCATTGAACCTTTATTTGACTGAAAAGTCTGAACAGGTCCTCAGTTTACGAACAAAGCAACAGGTTATGGCGGTTGAGGAGCTTGCATCAATAGAAAGCAAACGTGAGCAACGTGTCAGTGTTGAGCAGATGTCTACAGAGTATGAGCACGCTGAGGGACCGGGAATACACAGTGTTGAAGTTCTTATTGAGGATGAATCTTCAGAAGAAATGGAATATTCGTGCAATACGGCGGCGTTTAGAAGACAGGAAAGAAGCCGACTACGTGCACAGCAAGAGAAGTTCACACAGCAATGGCAACAGTCCGAAAGATCTGAAGTCAAATTACAAACAGAATCACAGATGTCTGAGAATCTGTTCAGCAGATTGGCCAAACAAAAAGCTTATACTACGTCTAGATCTACAGAAGCAGTCGGAGACGACTCATCAAGTGAGGAGGAGCAGCTAAGCATAAAACATCAGCTCTCCCTAGCTCGTCGACAACAAAGCAATGTGCATAAGGAACAACAGGAACGAGAGACTATGTCAACATCGCAGATTCAGGCCAGTACTGCAAGTACTCGCTACAGCAGCAGAACAGGAGTGAGTAGCCGGCGGGTTATTACAAGTGACAGTATGAGCGACACCCCGCAGGAGCGTATTACACGGGAGAGAATTTCTCGAGCTAGAGCAGCGGCTTATGAAGCTAACAAGCAGCTCCATCAGCTGGCTTTGTCTCAACAACAGCAACATCAGCAGCAACCGGCAGACCAGTCGACAGTGCAGTATATACGACATGGAAGTGATATTGTGGCTGCATCACGGGATGAGCATCTGAAGGCAACACCGGCCTCGCATTTCATCAAGAGATCTGCCACTTCCACGTATTCCTCTCATAGGACAACCAGCTTGATGCAGGCTGGTCAATTTGTGACCTCGCGGTCATCATCGTCAGCACTAACACCACATAAGAGACGGGCGAGAGTCCATAAATCTCTCGTGAAAGCAGTTTCCGATGATGGTTCGTATCAACTCGTTCGGCGCAATCTCAGCATTCAAGAGCACCAGACGATAGGCGGCATCAGAGGTCCGTTAATACAGCACATAGAGGTGATCATCGAGGAGGACTCCGATGCTGAGCAGGAGGATGTGCAGGCGGCCATCCACGAGCAGTATGGCCACAAGATCGTGAGCATTCACATGGCGAAAAAACTCAACTTTAACTCGTGGCAGGTGATGGAGTACTACAAGGTCGTGCCACAGCTGGTCCGCCCAGTCGTCGAGGAACTGGACGTACTCATCGATACGGACTCCGAGAAGAAATCGGATGATGAAGTGGCTCACCCGACATTTACATATACCACTAAGCACTAAACTCGACCCAACATCCGAAATGTGTGAAGTTCATTTTTGTCAAATGTTTTTAGTCATTTACGAAATTTTTATTTTATTGGACTTTCACGCAATTATTTGGGTATGCTTTGGTAGATAAATTTGTATTCAAAAAGTCCATAAGTGACATTTAATTCGTACATTCCAATTCTTTGCTCAAACAGTGAGAACACATGAAGTACATAAAGTTACACAATGCATCCACAAACAAATACAACAACACACGTAATAGTATTAACACAGCTAACGTAAACAGTTGAAACACAAAAACGACATGCTTATTGGAGCAGGAGATAAAGTGGACAGAGTGAAAGGACCGATGTATAGGTGAGGGGTGCGGATTTAATGGGTGCATGATGGCAACCTCAAACTAACACATGTATGTGAGTCAGGAATATTCCTGTCATTTATGGAGCCTCTTCATATTGTAACGTGCGACTGACCGAGAAAAAGAGAGTGCACGCGAAAAAAGAGGAAAGGAAAATGAGAGTGAGAGTGAGAGAGCAAGCATGAGTTCGTGAATGCGCACGCATATGTAGATATATCTGTGCATACCTGTAGAACTTTATAACTTTTGTGTAGACCATTGAAAGTGTCAAATTGTAAAAAAAAATTGTGATCTACGAAGTTTTTTTTACCTGCCAAGTACCTGTAATGAATGCGATTTATATGGTGTCATTGTTTGCGGTGTTTTTATTACGGTCACATACATACTCCTGACGACTGTATAATCTGAGTGGAGAATAGTTAGTTGTGAGATATAGTGTTATTAACTCTCTTTGATTCTCTAATGCACGTTTGTTTGCATAGTATTTATGCATAACCCTGTGGTTAGCAATGTGTATTAATACTGTATAGCGATACATTGTAGAGTATCTTTTAAATACTGTTTATGTGTGTATGTTTCGTTTGCCTGTAATTCTTCTAAAAGTGTATAGATATTAAGTGTGGGATATCCTACATAATAGGTCTTTACTGCTTTAGTGTCGATTAATGGTAATTTAATGGATCTGATGGTTATTTTCAGGTTACTACCCTTTATTAGTGTCAAATGTAACATTCACAAGAGTCATATAATATAAGTGTTCTGTACAGATAACTCTAATAATGTTTCCTTTTTCATCATTGCAGGTTCTGCCAGAGGAGCGGAAAGAACTGGAACAAGTCGTGCGCACAGTTGACCACCACATGGCTAATATAGAGACCTGCATAACCAAGTTGGAAGGATTCATGATCGAGCTTGCTGAACCACATGAACAAACTCTAGCACAATATCAGACCCACATAGTCCATATTCAGGTAAGTCACAGAGTCAATATCAAAGCAAACTTTCGCGTTCCATTACGATGTATTCTTAATGTTATTATGTTATTATTAATTTTGGTTATATGGCTTGATATATTGTTATAAGATCTGTGCTAAAATAATGTGCACTGTTCGTCTTTCACAACAAGCTATAACGTTCTAGAAGTAATATATTATATATAATAATATATAATAAATATAATAGTATATAATATATAATGCGCACAATTTTGCTAAAGTACGTTGTGGTATCATCAACGTCTATGCGGTATGCGTGTGGCGCAGGGCATTATGGGAGTTTGCAAGAATGAAGATGACTGAACTATTTGTGTCACATTTGTATCGTCCATCAATATCTTTCACGAGTATAAGCATCTTTACATCAATAACCACTACATGGTGTTAGAAGTATCATGCAGTCACAGTGCCTGTGAGTGTAAAAACACGTTTCGTATCCACACGTCGATACTACGCAAAAGTTCGAAAGAAACGAGTCACGTTTTGCATAGCAGCCAACATAGTGTGAGACAAAGAAATTAATAATGGTGGAAGTTTTTGTAAAACCACTCGAGCCACTTACAATTTACGGCGGAAATCCAGCCCATTTCTGGGAGTGGAAGAGAAAGTTTAATATATCCTACAGGTCACCGGGTCAACTTCAAATTCTGGTGATCAGAACTTGGTACCTACTCATTGAGTCATTCTGTTTCTGTTTCTCTGTGTATGATTACTGCTACATTACGTCATAGCAGATCAAGGCATTGACATAGACATATTATTAATTATTATTATAATTTATACGCAGTGGATATTTAACTGTATACGGCAGAGTATCCACTTCCGCTATTTTAACGTACAGTACTTCGGATTGGCTAGTAATAGTACTAGTATATTTATGTTCAGAGTGGCTATATGCCCAGGCAGCCGGCATATATCTGACGGCTGCCGGGCATGGTCTTCGATTTCCTAAATGCCCGGCAGATTTTAATTTTCAGCGTTATCTCAAGTAAACAAGGGTTAGGGTTAGGAACTGCCGGGCATTTAGGAAATCGAAGACCGTGCCCGGCTGCCGGGCATATATAGCCACAGCGATTTATGTATGTGTATATAATGTTAGTATATTATGAATGTGTTCAAAATGTTTCGTATTGGAAACGTGATTCGCGGAAAATAGCTTCTATGATCAAACCGGGCTACAAATGTGTAGAAATAAATGGGATTTGAACCTAAAAGTTTTCTAGATAGCTAAACCTAGTCTAGGCAATCAAATGTGGTGTATCGTAAAATAGCGGAAGTGGATACTCTGCCGTATACGGTTAAATATCCACTGCCTAATTCATATACAAACTTCGTGTTTTGGCCAGGCGAATCTCGGCATAGCTATGATGATATGTGATTGTAAAATTTAACAAGTATTTCACTAATACAGATCCACAGTTAATGCGAAGGGGGAGATACTGGTTGCAATTCAAAAGAGAGCATGACAATCGTTAGGTGCATGCCGGATAACTGAGCTCACGAATGCAAATTCCCAGAGCAGTATTACGAACAGGCTGTACGTGACAAAATAACATTTACATGCACTGATGACGGTATGACACTGAAAGTTGAAACTACGACCAAGGGGCTATAACCTGTCAGTCTGCAAGTTATGTCTCTGAAACCGGCAACTACTCAGGAGCTAAAAGATTCGAAAACAGCCATGATTGAAGCTGTACCGTAACTGTAAGATATCAGCCACAGATAAGGCATAATAACCAGCCGTGGAAGAAAGGGAAAGCCATTGAGCATATATATGCATACCTACTGCACAGCTGAGCATGGGTCGTAAATTTATTAAGAACACGAACCCAGATGAGCTTCACATCATTAACCACTACATACGTCTTTCACAACAAGCCATGAAGTTATAGAAACAATGCGCTCAATTCTGTTAGACTATTATACATGTGAGCACATCTTGCACATGGAATCCTATTGTGAAATGCTAATGTACTAAACGTACTGTACTACGTAATATAAAGTAATATCTTAAATTGCATAGTTGTCTTTTAATTGTACGGAATAAACAAAGTACAAATAGTCCACTGATTATCCTGGCAATTGATAGTATGGGACCTTTTATGGTCTGGATATCTCTACAGTGGTGGAATTTAAGTTTATCAAGGGATTTTCAACTACAATATTGTGTGTGGACACTGCGTTGTGGTGATATTAGTCTGGTTGGTCTTGGAAATTATTCTAAAGCGGTTTCATTTTAATATGAAGGACATGGCACTGGTTCATAGGGTGGTGGAGATTCAGTGCACTACCTGTACAATTTATAGCATTAGCAGATTTTTTAATGACTTCAAGAATTCTCAACAAACCTCATAGCATTAGCAGATACCAAGCTTCTGCATCTCTCTCAGTTTCAAGAAACTTCCGTATATCTTTGGTCGACTTCCGGGTTCCGAGTTCTAATTACTGTGCTCTTACCATGCAAATCTAATTAATTCGTGGGTCCCGAGATTTAATTACTTTGTTGTTACTATGCAGGAGATGCGTGTGATCGTCACTCAGCAGATTGTGGAGGTGACGCGCATGATCACCGTCTATCGTAGAGTGGTTCTGTATGACACAAGTGCAACAGAGATGCTGCACCGACTAGAGGCTGCATACACAGTACTGCAGTCAGAGCAAGATAGACTAGAAATAGCATTGGTAGATGTCCAACAATCTGAGGAGCAGGCTGTGAAGGTAATCTTAATCGTGGTGATTGTAATTATAGTGGGGAGCATTTTAGCTGTACAGTATTGATATAAAAATCTTTTGGAATGATTGTATTGCTCGGTGACGTATACAATTATTGACGAAAGTAATACGTTTTAGGATGAGAGTGAAAAAGAACATGAGCGTGCATGTGTGGTGGATAGAGTAAGCCATCAAGTGGAAGATGTTGAAAACTGGGTATTAGCAGCAAAGAGCTTTGTTCCCTCACCTATCGAAGATGAAGACAAGACAGTTGCTCTCTACATAGCGAGGATCGTTAGAATTCAGGTGAGTGTGAACAGTCGAGATGCAAGCTGTGCAGTGAATCATAACAACACAGATACAAACATAACATTGAACAGTAAATAATGTGATGTGAACTCAAATACAGTGGTGGTACAAGGCATTATTGATGTTCTGTTAACCGAGCATAGCCATGATTGATGCGTTCGTTACGCATTTGTCAAACTAATGATTAAAATTTCTAAATGATACGTGTCTAT